GTAGTGCCACCCTGGCTTGCTTCAGTTTTGGTTGTATTCTTGCTGACTGGTCTCCAGACCCCTGCCTTAGTGGTTGGACTAGTAGTGCCGCCCTGAGCTGTTTGCTTCTTGTTTAGTTTCACCCCTTGTCTAGCCTAGGGGGTGTGTCAACTTATACATATTATCTATGTAGAAATTATAGGCTAGATTGAGGTATGCTTCTAGTGAGTACAACCAACTAGTATTTGTTCTAGGTTTCCACTTCTAGTCATTATTCGTTCTCACTTTGACACTTCCTTGGGATGGCTCTCGGCGAGAATCCATATTTCTACCATGGGCTCGTCACCGGAATACCCAATGGCTTATACCACGACGGTTTAGCATGCGGCACGTGCTTCGAGATGGAGTGTAAGAACCACGCGAGCTGCAGAGACGGCAACGTGATCGTCAGAGCTGTCGACTACGGGGGCTACGACTTCATTGTCTCCTCCCAGGCGTGGGACAAAATAGTAGTTGGAAACTCAACGCAAAAGGTGGATATTAAAGTAGGTCGCGTGGACTGCCCTACGAGCGGCGGCATGGCGGTTCATCTGCCGACTGACGTTCTCCCGTCTTGGTTCAGCTCTTTATTTTGAACACCGCCAAGAGTGGAGAGGTGGTGGGTGTGGAGTTATCGAGGGATGGTGAGACCGAGTGGAAGAAAATGAGCCAGATGCGCACCGGCGGTTCGGGCCAGTGGGAACTGGAACCCGCTGAGGATGTGGCGGTGGAGGGGAAGAAGATGGTGGGTGAGTGACAGGGAAGGATGGGAAGGAGGTGGTTCTCAAGGATGTCATTGGCGCGGACTGGATGGGCGGCAACAAGACCTATACCAGCGATGCCAATTTCTAGTTGCGTTGCTTGAAAAGGTCGACTGGACGCTTGAATGGGCAAGGTAGCCATACTGTACCGCATACAACCGTTCCGACAAGCATCGAAACTGTTAAAATTATATAAGTTATAATTTGACATAGGCTTGGTAGGTTGTTACTGAACCTTTCTGTAGAGGGTACAAACCCCTTCTTGTACTCCTCTCTTCCTAATCAAACCCCTTTCTTCTCGACATTCTCTCCCTTCCTAGATCCGTTTTCCTCACGCCATTCCATGGCGGCCTTCTTGCTAGTATCCTAGCCAACCTAGCCTCCTAAGTTTAAGAACCTTGAGTCCTAAGTTTCTAAGATGGTATCAGAGCCGGTCGTGTCCACCGGACCCTCTCCCTACGTTCCCGTTGCGTACTCCTGCTGCATTCACAGCCTTCGCGGTTTTCTGCCTGCCTGCCGTCGCGGCACCAAGCTGTCGCGACGGCCCCTTGTTGCCTGCCGTCGCGGCACCAAGATGTCGCGACGGCCCCTTGTTGCCTGCCGTCGCGGCGCCAAGGTGTCGCGACGGCCCCTTGGTGCAGCCGTCGCCCGTCCGCCTCGCCGCTGCGGCATTGACGGTGCGCTGTGGCGGCGTCTAGGGCAGCCGCTGGCATCGTCGGACTGCGGCCGGCCGAGCGACGTCTGTGACGCAGCCGGACCTGCCGTTCGCTCGCCAGCCACGGGCGTCCCTCTGGACGCCGTCCTCCCGCCAGTAAGCGCCGCGCCATTTATGGCGCGTCGCTGAAGACTCGCCCCGCTTTCCCCCATTCTCCCTTCCCCCTGCGTCTTCCCTTCCTCCTGTCGCAGCTGCTGTCTTCTGCCCGGACGTTGCCACACCGCCGAGAGCCCTCAGCCGCGGCAGTCGCCGCCTGTCGTCAGCGACCCAGCCGCCTTGAGCCAGAGCTCCGCTGCTGCTTGACGCTGACCCGCCCAGACGCCGTAGGCTGCCTCGTGTACGGGGGTGTGTCAACGCTTTGCACGAGGGTCAGATACCCTAAACCCTAAGAGAAACCACCTGCCCCCCATTCGGTTTTTGTCCTCATAGCACCACGGGTGAGGCAACCGAAGCCGAGGAGATGATGAGGAATGGAACTTAAACTCCGAACCTGAGGAGCTTCAGTCCAAGCCGAGTCGAAGCAGTTGCAGGTTTACAATGCAGAACAACATTTCATGCTTAGAATGTGATCCAATACACACACGTCCTATGTCACCCCTGTATTGCACTCCTATTGAAATTAGCAAGCTTGAAAGTCACACAAAACAAACCTAGAGCTATTCTCTCCCACACATGCACACATTTATTTTGTTACGATAATTTATATCAATTTGCCCCTTCACCGCGTGAATGGGTTCACGCGCTTCGGAATGCCGCAAGCCCTGGAGAGTCGGGGCCGCTAGTTAACGAACACCTTGAACTTCTGGCCCTTGAGACAATCAATCCCAGCGGAGCTAGTGAAGTAGACCCACATGCCGCGGTACTTGTCAGGGATGTTGTACGTGATGGTCTTCGCCTTGGACTGCGGGGCCAGGCGCGCAGTCGTGGACTTGAGGTCGCAGTCCGTCCAGGCCGCCTTAGAGGGCAGCTGAACCACATCGTCCACTGTGTTCGTGTTGGCCCACTTGAACTCTGTCACAGGGACGGGGGGAGTGTGGGAGAGGGAGGAGGGTGAGGCAGTGGACTTCAGGTCTCAGCCCTTCCAGGCCTTCTTGGAGAACAGTTAAACCACGCCGTCCCCTGCGTTCGTGTTGGCAAGAGAGGACGGGAGGAATGTGGGAGGGAGGGAGGGAGGAGTGTGGGGCAATGCAAGGGGACGTGGATTTGAGACCGCAGTCCGTCCAGGCCTGCTTTGAGAACAGCTGGACCATGTTGTCATGCATGCATGTTACACATAACACATATCCATGTTACGTACATGCATCTCTAGCGAATCTCCACGCCACGTACCGAGAACCTCATTGCCATAGAGCCTAAACGGTGGCATGATGTTGCTTTTGAGTCGTCTCAAAAGCAGCGGGGAACACTGCATTCAAAGAACGTACCAAGAACGTCATTGACATAGAGCTTCGGTGGCACGATGTTGGCGATTCCCCACGCCCAAGGGGACTTGGAGCGTGGCAGCCCCACCGTGTACTTGACCGGCTTGCGCACCTGTGTGAGGGAGTGAGTGAGTGAGTGTGTGTGTGTGTGTGTGTGTGTGTGTGTGTTAGTGTGAGAGTGCGAGTGTGTGAGAAAGATCAAGTTAGCACCTAGATGTGAGGTTCGTACACCGAGAGATTGAGTGCGGTACAGAGTGATGGGTTTGGCAAAGAGCGGTGCTTGTGGAGTAAAGAGGGGAGGAGGGAGAGTGTGTGTTGAGGGGAAGAGGTCATACGACTTAGGCGGATTACGCCAGGAGATCACACGACTACTACTGCGCTGGGGGCTGCGCTTGAAAACAGCATGGTTGTTCGCCACGGGAGCCGCTTTAAAAACAGCATGGTTGTTCTGTTTGGCTGTTGGATGAAACTTTCCCTTTGAAACGTGCGTGGGACGGTTAGTCAAATAGAGCGCTTCTATTCTTACGTGCGAATCGGCGTGCCTAATCGCACCTGCGACTCCACCACGCCTGAAGCGCGCCAAGTCCGGGTCGATGTCGTATCCCCGCGAACCACCCCCACGGCGCGTTCCGGTTGGTTGGTTGGTCGCCCGTCGCCGCGCGTCGCCGCGGCAGGCATGCGGGGGGGTTCGCGATCAACGAAGGCGGGGGAAGGGGGAAGGGGGAAGCGGGATGGAAGGGGAAAGGAGATGAGGGAGAGGGATGCAACAGGAGAGGACGAAAAGGAAGAAAACGATTTGGGACGTTTCAAAGGGGTTCAAAGCTTCTGAGAGGAAACGCAAAGAGCGGCGGGAAAAGTCGGGTAGGGGGTGGTTGGGAGAGGGGGGGGGGGGAAAGAGGGGAGCGGAGGGAATAAGCGGACCACGGCAGGGAAGGGGGAAGGGGGAAGGGGGAAGGGGGAAGGGGGGAGGGTGTCGACGGATGAAGAACGCTCGAAACGAGCGTTACGGGAATGAATTAGGACAAGCCGCAGGGATGTTGATGCATGCCTCTAGAGGCCAGGAATAACGGACTATGGAGGCGGCTCGGGAAGTAAATAGGAGTTCGCGTCGTTTGTCGAGACTCTAGATTCTAGACGGTGTCCCTGTCGGCTACTCACGGGATGCAAGGAACACAATAACGAGGACAAGGAGAGACCAGGCGCGTACTCCCACCATAGCGACACGCGACGGACTCCAACTAGTTGGCAACACGGCGCAACACGGCGCGAGACGGCACAACACGGTTCGAGACGAGCGGTTCGGTCAGTATGCGTTACGAAATGGTGTCAGGCCAGTAAACTGAACAGCAGGTCGGCTGATTCCAAGGAGAACAATAGTATGAACGGTGGAGAGCGGAGCAGGAAGCGGGAGTCGCGGGGGGAGGATGTCCGTCAGAGGCAGTCGGTTGTGTGGGCAAAAAAACTCGCCAGGAAAACACCTGCTGGGTATGAAGATCGACTTCAGTTGGGTGATGCAACGTCAGTCAAACATGTGTTTTCCCAGCGTTTTGTGTTGCGGCAGGTCAGTCCCACCACATCTGGCAGTCCCATTTCCAGATTTTGTCTGCACGACCAGCAAACGTTTGATAATGGCCGAGGCGCGCACGGACGAACTCCTGCGACATCAGCGAGGATTTCGCTGGGAGCGCGATACATCCACTGGGAACTGCTTGTCGTGTAAACGAATTTCCCGAAACATGGCTGTACTAGGCATGCGAAGGCTTGCGATAAACAGACTCCGTCCTGTGCGTCGGCGGTTGCACCGAAATCACCGACCAGCCATGCGTTATCCCAGGTGACACCAGCCCCAGGTGTCGCCAGCAAAGGACGTGGGCTGGATCAGCGCGGTTTCACCTGCGTGGCTGTACGCGTCACAGAAGCGTCCGGCATGAAATAGTATACTAGTGCACAGTTCCAGTTGTCAATGGGCGAATAGGGCTTCCACCATAATAGACTTTTGCCATCACTTCTCACAACCACCTTACTACCAGTGCAATGTGAATTCATGGACATGCAGAGTCGAGATCAATAAGATGGAAAATAATAATATCAATTGGGGTTTTAATATGAAAAAACGAGGGTTTCATATACCATGGACACTTCTACCCATGCATTGTGACTAGCGTGCACATCCCACACAACTTTGGTCCATACACCATCATGACATCAATACGCACTATGCCTGAGCACAGAAGCAACCACGGAGAAGAGCAACACTGGCATTGGTAGCATAAGCAACCCTCGATGATGCCAAGGGGGAGATGCTGTGGTCCTGGTGGTTACGCAACGGGCACCCATCCCCATCTTCGACCAGGTGACAGTGTGTACCCCAAAAAAGAGCCGGTCCACGATTGGTCGGGCAGCTATGCAGAGAGGGTGGCGGGCACGGGAGAATCCGCTGCAGAGTTGAATCGAGCATTTAGATTGAATCACGGGGCGCCGAGGTTGGTAAGCGTGAAAGTGCCGGTCCATGATTGGCCGGCAGCAAGGGTGAGAGGGTGGCGGGCGCGAGAGAAGCCGATGCAGAGAAACTCGTCCCAGTCCGGCAGGCCACAGGTCTCATCTGCCGCGTGCACCGTCAGATCGCCCAATCCAACGGATGAGAGGCGGAAGGAGAGCCGGCGACCCTGAGAGAGGGAAGGATGGGGACAGAGAAGCTGGCGGTGTGAGGCAGTGGCTGAGAAATGAAGCTTCTGAGAGATGAGATGGGTGTGTGAATGTCTCAAAGCCAACATCGAGCCAGTGCGTGTGAGGTGATGGCAGGTGAATGCAGACACACTGTAAGGGTGGATGGGTGTGTGTGCTGTGTATGGTACGATGAAAAGGCCATGGAGAACGAAAACGCGAAACAAGGACCCGACGGGATAACGAGTGAAGACAGATCTGAGAAAGCAAGAAACGCCGAGTCTTTGATACGTCCAGTTTGCTTTTGAGTCGGCTCAAAAGCAAACGCCAAGTCTTGATACGTCGATTTCGGTGACCACGCATTTAATACAAGAATAGGGATGGAGTCAGGGCTGTGAAAAGGCACAGCTATGTCTAGAGTGAGAATAAAGGCTCCATAGAAACAAGAGCAGTCTCCCACACTGTCGGTACCAAGAACACCAAGCTCCACTTACCTTTAAGAACAGCCATTGAAAACAACGCCAAGGCCTGTTTTTTCTCTCAAGAAGCGGGAGCATTTCAGCCATGTCTATTAACACCACTGCTTACCCTGTCTAGAAGAGTGACCGAGTCAGGACCGTCCAGAAAAATCCGCTTTAAAGGCGCCTCGATATCAGCATAGTCTGCTCTCTCTACACCCTCCTCCCCTCCCTCCACTACGTCCCTCCACAACCCTCTCAACCTCCCAACCATCTCCTTGTCAACTGGACCTGCTCCTGAACCCGCCTCTGCTGCTGCTGCGCTTGTCACTGCTGCTGCTACTGTTGCTGCTGCTGCTGTGGCTGCTACTCTCCCCTTGCCCTCTTGCGACCCGGCGCTTTCCTCCGCCCTCCCACTGCTCTGTTTCTTGCTGCCCAACTGCCCAAACAAGCTCCCCATTCCCCATAAGCCTCCCCCACCTGCCCCCCCTCTCTCCTGCTGCAGTCTCTGCTGCCGCCCGCTGCCGCTGCTACAGTACCGCACACCTTTGCAGCCAATCAGGCGGGCCCCATTGATGGTGGAGAGAGAGAGGTGGGCGGCGAGGGAGGGGGCGAAGAGAAGATCGCTAGAGGGCTGCTCTGTCCTGCTGCTGCTGCTGCTGTTGCTGCTGCTGTTGCTGGCAGTGGTGCTCGTGCTGCCACGAGTGGCAGTGTTTTGTACGGCGAGGGAGGAGGAGAGGGAGTTGGGAGTGAGAGTGATGGTGAGAGAGAGAGAGGCGGTGCCAGACCAAGAGGAGGAAGGGAGAGATTCTTGGGTCAACGATTGCGAGAGCACAACCTGCCGGGATGAACAAGGGGGGTTTGGGAGGCGGGTGTATCGGGCCAATGGGTAAAGGCAGAGATGGGAGGGAGGTTAAACGAAGGATGAAGCGATAATTTGAATAAAAAAGGTGTGGGGAGGAGTTGAAGAAACAATGGTCCAAGAAAAACGAGAAGCAACAAACAGAGCGGAGAAAAATGACACATCAAAGTTGACTAGAGATTTCAAGATGAGTGCATCTGCAAGTATGCAGAGAGGCACAGGAGACAAGGCGAATCACATAGCATGGAGCTTCTTAGGAGAAACGAGCGAGGTGGCAAGGGCATGGATGGGCGGTAAGGACTCAGGACCACATGAATGATGTCTGCGAGATTCTCACACCTACGAGTCCCATAACCCCCTGCAAACCCCGCCGATCGCTTCAGAAGCAGCACCCACTCAACAACCACCGACCAGCCAATCCTGGCCTGGCCTGGTTTTTGAGAGTTCTCAAAAACCAGTTCGCCTCACACTTTGCCTCTCACAGCTCACCCCCCCAACCCCACCCCACCCACCCCTCCTTCCCTTCCCCTTTCTTTATCCCCCCCTTTTTCCCCCATGCCCCTCCCCCCCATCCCACCCCACCCCACCCCACCCCACCCCACCCCACCCACCCCCCTCCCCGACACCCTTCCTCTTCCCCCTGCCCTTATCGGAGCCTCACTTTAGCCCAGCTCCCATTCGACGCGCTCGATGCTGACGTCACCTCCCACTCGCCGCGCGCTGCCAGCTCGCCAAGTGGCACCCTCCTGCCGCTGCCAGCTGTCAGCGCGCCACTGGCGGGGAAGCTGACGACGACTCCCCCTCGGATAAGGTTGCACGGGCTGGTCGAGTCGCTCGCGTCCGACGTGGAGTCCACGTCAGCGATGACCACGTCATCATCGTTCGACGCCGCATACAGTACCTCCTCTGCCGCGCCGTGCCACATCATCGCGCGGTACGAGGTCACGCGAGCGCCGTCAATGAGAACACGACACGTGGTCTCGTCTGACGTGGACAGCTCGACGGTCCGGATACCCGCGGCACCCGAGAACTGGATAAAGGGCGATCCGAAGGCCTGCTGAAGGAAGTACGGCGACGCGCGGTCCGATGACGTGGCACTCGCGGATATTACGGGAATACATCTGCTAGACGCGGAAACTAAGGAGGGACGTGGAGGGAGAGGAAGCGCGGGAACGGGAACGAAATTTCGCGGCGCGCGTGGCAAGGGTGGTGCGAGTGGTGGCGCTCGTAACGACGGGAAAAAGTCGGGAGAGAGCGGGAGGAGCGGGGGAGAATGCGGGGCGGCGGAGTTGCGAAGGACCGACGACACGACGAAGCCGCAACTATACGAGGACGGGGACAAGCGAGCGCGAGCATGGCTGCTGGGCGTGGCGCTCGGAACGGCGGAATACGAGGGGGAAGCGAGTGTCACAGTAGTTCGGTGGGCGGGAAGTTGGGAGCAGTGGAGAACACCCATGAGAGCTGAAGATTACAGAAAACTGCCGAGGCGATTGGATATCGGGCGGACAGATTCGCTGAGTGGAGTGATGGAAGGATGAGGCTGGAATTTATGGTCTAATAATAGTATGGCTCCATGGAATGGTGGCGAATATTCTCGCTGTTGCAACATTCCTCGCGTTTGTTGCAGATCAACTGTCTGATTTGAATTCGACTTCTATATTATTTATGTACTAAAAAGTAAACACGATGAGCACAACTTCCTACATGAGATCGTGTAATTAACTGAGAAATTCGACAAGAAACCTTTCCTGATGTCAGGACTCAGGATTGCTTTCAGTACAACATGCTAGTGCTCATAATGAACCGCGTGCTGTAAGCCGCGCGTGCTACTTTCCCCTCGACAGGAAACATACGGTGCGTCTCACAAATTAACTTGGGGAACAGAATCGGACAGATTGGATGTGGGAATGAGCAGAGGGAGGAAATCGTACAAATTGAGGGTGAAGAGGCGAGGAGGAATGGAGGTAAGAGACGGGCGACGAAGAGTAAAAGAGTAAAAGAGGGTGGACACGGAGAGATGGAGGGCAGGAGTGTATGGATGTGGAGTGGGAGGACGAAGGGGGAGAACGGGAGAGGGAGAGGTGGTGGAGAATAGAGGGGAGAGAGAGAGAGGGAGAAGGGGGAGAGGCAACAGAACAAGGAGGGTGGAGAGGGAGAGAGAGCAGGGAGGGGGAAGGGGCAGAAAGCGAGAAGTTGAGTATTAAGGAGGGAGAGGAGGAAGCCCAGGAAGGACGCAAGGGAGGAAGTTACGATGAAAGTGAGACGGGGTATGACGGAGATGGAGGGGGAAAGCAGCCTGGGACAGGGAGAGGGCGTGAGCGAGGCAACGAGGGAGAAAGGGAGGGAGAGAGCGCGAACTTTAGAGGTATAGAGGAGGGAAGAGAGTCACAAATAGAGGTGACGGGGATAAGGCAAACGACGAGAAAACGGAGAGGAGACGAGAGAGGGCCCCTGGGATGGGGGAGGAATACGGAGAGTGGGAGTACAGGGAGGGACAGATCAAACAGGCAACAAGCTGTAAAAGCCGTCCATAACACCCCTCTACCCCCCCCTCCCCTCCCCTCCCCCCACCCAAGAAAACCGTTTGTGTAATCAATATAGGAGCAGAAGTTTACACAATTTCTTATTAATACAGCTATGACGCCAGACTTTACATGTTCCAGATAGATACTGAAAGAACTTCGTTAGATTTCCAGCGCTGTCTGAACCAACAACATACCTGGTCAACCATTCAGGCATGGTGTTACACCTCCAGAGGAAATTTGTCGTTACAGCCAGACAGGGTAACAGACACTAACCCCAACTGCGTTACTGCAACGCACAGTAACTGTAACATCAGCAACAGGAGAGGATCAACGGATGCGCGCACGGAGCTGACTAGATGGCCTCAATGTGATCAACATTCGGAGTACGCCGGTTGGTGGGAGCTTCAGCAAAGTCACTCCCCTTCAGCTCAGCCGACGTCTTGTCGATTGCCCGGTTCAGCTCAGCAAGCTTCTCGTTCATTTTCCTCCGCTTCTCCTGAAACGCGATCCATGCCAAACAATGAGCTACCACGGATTACGAAAAAACGATATCAGGTGAGGTTTAAACTTACCTCGAGATTGTCGCTCTCGCTAATCCACTTCGGAAGTTTCGGTGAGGAACCCTCCTCGTTTGTCCCGAGAATAGCCTTCGAGATCTATCAGAAAGAAACAGGATTTTCAGGGATTTATGCATTTCACTTGTTCGCAACTTTTTGCACCTGGAGGGAAACACAGCTGAGGTACCCCTAGGGCCCACAGCTGAAACACAGCTGATCAGTGACTGACCTGGGGTGCGAACAAGTAGCCCAGGGCACCGAATACAACGCCACCTAGGATGAAGCCAGGGAAGAAGCCGCCGCCTCCACTATCCCTCCTGCGTTGTTTCAACAAATTCAAAACATGCGAAGAGAGAAGAAACAGAAAACTAAAATAGTATCACTCGTTGACACACCCAACTAGAGACCAACCAAGCCACGACACGAAACAAGAGGGGATGGACCAAGGAGAAGAAATCACCGAATGCTACCTGTAATCAGAATCTGCGACGATGAGTTTCCGTGCTGCTGTCCTTCTACTGCTGGCAGCTCTGAAAACCACCGCCTTCGGAGACGCTGTGAAACACTTGGCTCCGGCAAGGCCTTGGAAGCTAGGGACTCCTGAAACAACGCCACGCGGGAACGTGAAAAGCTGATCGACGATGCAGACCAGCGCCATGAACATATGAACACATCGTGCGTTCTTACCAAGCGAGTTTTTCGGTGCCAGAAGAACGGCAGTGCTACTGGCACTAAACATTTGCGTGGTCGCCATGGCTGTGGGAGCGAGCGATCTAGGATTGGCGATGTACGAGAGGGATCCAACTGTGATACTATACCACACTGATCAGTTAGAATCTACAGTGGGAGAAGATATGTAGACTCGGGCTGACATGACCACAGCTGGATTGATTTGGCAGGAGAGTAGTTTCACCTGATGTTCAGGGAACCAGGGTGACGACGACAGACGGATGTATCATTCTCCAACACAAGGTTGGATGGGGAAGACAACCCTGTTAGACAGTTGCGACATCAGCGATGCTGGCGAAGTCGAAAGTGTCAACAAATTTGGAGACGAACGGTTGAGAGCAGTTCGTCAACCAATCCTGCTGTAGGCTGAATATCCTTGAAAGGTTCGCCTGATGACGTCTTGACGTCCCGGAAAGCCCATCAGTTACGCACACGTGGCTGTGCGTTGCTGTAACAATATATCTGCCACCGTGGCTCGTAATCGTACTTCCATTGGCTGACGAGCCACTGATCCCTTGCGAGACTTCATTGGCGAACAGATTCGCTCCTTGCTGTGCTGTAACGTCCGCGAGCCCAACAGCCCCTCGAGAATGGCTTGCCCAGGCATCGGGGATTTCGTTGTCCCATCTCCCCAACCTCCGCCCCTGCGACATCTCGTTTCTCGCCATGCCATTGGCTGCGCGCTGCTGACGCGCTGTTGTGGTGCTGACGCGGCCCTGCTGATTCTGTGGAGATTGCCGAGTCGCTTTACTCCAGCTTCTCGAACCTCGATATTGTCAAGCCAGACAACGTACAGCAGCTTAGCACATATTTTCTTGCCTCCTATTCTCAGTCTAAGGCGTGTTTGGCTGACTACCGTAGGCATATTCAGCTGCGCAGAAGCCACGCCGCGCAGCGATCTTTCAAAGAAAGCTGTTTTCGGCGCCGCACCTTCTGTGATTCAGGCCCTGATCTCAAGCCTGCCTGTCTCCAGCTCCAGTAGCTGCGCACATACCTTCACTCCGTACTGCATCGCATCGGTCACAGATGGCGTGCTTAGCAGCCAGCTCGCAAGTCGCATTCAGAGGCGTGGCTCTCAGCCATGCGCAGGTCAGCACCCACAACCACCCACTGGAATCCACGCGTCGTGCTGTCAGGTTTTCCGATCGTTCCGCGTATTGGCCGATCCAGTCTAAACGTGTTAGCGGTATGGTGAATGCAGGCGGTCAGCAATGCGAATGTCGGTGGAAAAGCCGCCAGAAGACCCGTGGTTCGCTGCAAGGTGGCGTCGCCCGCGGTCGACAAGGCCGATGCGTCCGCGTCCGCGGGCGAGTACACGCCGACCAGCGACGCGTCCACCATGAACATCATGACCGGCGCCATCAACGCGCTCTTCGGCTTCCAGGTGCCGTGCCGCTCCTCTTCCCCGCCTCATTTGACCGCTTGCAACGGCATTGTCGTCCCTCTACCAGCAGAATCTCCCTTCCCCCCCCCCCCCCCCCCCCCCCCCCCCCCCGTTTTCCATGTCTTCAAACCGTTCTTCCTGTTCACAGCGGGCAAGGCGCGCGAGATGATGGTCACGCGCGGCTTTTGCCTCCACTCAAAAGCAGAATCTCACTTCCCCCCCCTTTCTCCCCCCCTTTCCCCCCCCTTTCCCCACAACCCGTGCGCCATGAATCTAAACCGTTCATCGCAGCCGTTCTTCCGGTTCGCGGCGGGCAAGGCGCGCGAGATGATGGTGAAGCGCGGCGACGCCATCGGCTTCCCATGGGCGCCGCGTCTCGCGGAGCTCAAGCGGCACGACTGGGACGAGGAGCTGCGATTGGTCGGCGCCACGAGCCGCGTCGCGAAAGACGCCAGCGGGGAGTACGTGTACCCGGAGTACTACACAAAGCCGTTCCACGCGTACGAAAAGGGTAACCTTTCGCTGGACGCGGCGCTGGAGGTGGAGCTGGCGGCGAAGGCTGTGCACGCGCCGATCTTCGACCCCGAGGTATGGAAACCTGAGTGACTGGGTTACGTCGAAGCTGAAACTAAGCAAACCGAGAAAAGGGAAGAGTAGGGAAGTGATATATGCTCCAGTCGTTACTCAGAGCCTTTCAGAGCTCTGCCAGAGCACCAGTTGCCAGAGCACCAGTTGCCAGAGCACCAGTTGCCAGAGCACCAGTTGCCAGAGCACCAGTTGCCAGAGCACCAGTTGCCAGAGCACCAGTTGCCAGAGCACCAGTTGCCAGAGCACCAGTTGCCAGAGCACCAGTTGCCAGAGCACCAGTTGCCAGAGCACCAGTTGCCAGAGCACCAGTTGCCAGAGCACCAGTTGCTCCATCCTAACGTTTGCGGCAAAAATAAACTCTTTCTGAGCACCAGCTGTTCTTTTTGAGCCGCCTAAAAAATAGGCTCTGTCAGAGATCTGCCAGCGCACCAGTTGCTCCATCCTATAGGGTTGCGACAAGCTGCGCCGTGCTGTGCTGCACGTACCGCATCCGAGCTGCTCTGCTCTGCTCCAACTCATGGCCTGCGATTCCAGTCCCTTGATACACAGCCCATTCAAGGGTCGATTTTTGAGGCGCCTCAAAAATAGACTCCGAGCTTCTCTGCTCCAACTCATGGCCTGCGATTCCAGTCCCTTGATACACAGCCCATTCAAGGGTCCAACTCCTCTCTCTCTGATTCCATCCCGTCGCACACCTTTCCACCTTTCTCCACCTCTCTCCCTGGCAGAGCAAGGCGCTCCACCCTGGGGGGGGCGCAATCCTGCGGAAAGGATGCCGCAAAGCTGGTGGGAGCAGCTAAGAGTGAAGCCCTGTTCCCATTTCCCCGTTCTCCCTAGTCCCGTCGCCCACCTCCTATTCCGCACAGCAATCCGCTTGTCCCCGAATGGGACGCGAATCAGCGGAAAGGGGTATCAGGCGAAGCTGGTGGAGCAGTTGAGGATGACTTTTGAGTCGACTCAAAAGTCACGGCGAAGCTGGTGGAGCAGTTGAGGATCAAGCCCTTTCCCCATTGCTGCATTCCCCCTCTCCCACTCTCCACCTCCTGTTCTGCAGAGCAAGGTCCTTGACCCCGAAGGGGACGCCAACCTGCGCAAGGGGTACCACGCGAAGCTGGTGGAGCAGCTGCGGATCAAGCCGCAGACCATTGTGGACCTGGGCTGTGCGTCTGGGCTCAGCACCTTCGCCCTCTTCCAAGTAAGCCGGTTCTTCAGGCGCCTCAAAAGCTGCTTTTTTAAGCTCCTCAAAAGCCGAGGATTGAGGCGCCTCACAAAAAGCCGGAGATCATCGTTGACCTGGGCTTGGCGTCCGCCCGGTCTCAGCACCTTCGCGCTCTTTGATTTGATGTGAGCCTGCTTCGAGCCCGTGGCCGAACCAGAACAACAAGAACAAAACGGCCCGTCTCTCAGCATTCTTCCACGTGACGTGTCCACAGCCCTCTCTGAACGTCCGAGCGATCCGTTCCGTTTGGTGCATTCTGAACCTCTCCACACTCCCATCCCATCCCATCCCATCCGATCACCATTCCCCCTTACACGTTGAGCGAGTGCTGGTGCAAAGCGCTCCTCGTCCTGCTTATGGAGCTCCTTGCACTCACCCCATCCTCTGGTCTTCCCTTTCCCCACCCACGCAGACCTTTCCTGACGCCAAGCTGATCGGCCTGGACCTCTCGCCGTACTTCGTTGCCGCGTCAAACTACAACGTCAGAGAGAAGAGCAAGCAGGCGGTAAGCCCTCCCTCCCCCCATCACTTTCTATGCTTCGCTTGGATGCACCAGGAACTGTGGGGCGGATGGAAGGCACCTTCTCTACAGCCTTCTAAACAGCACCTTTTGAGAATCAGCTAGCGTGCATCCGGCCCTTCCGAGCGCGTCCACCTTGTTGCATTGCAAGTAGCCATACCTACCTTGTTCCAGAACCGCCCTTGCTCCTAGGGCCCCGGCCGCACTATGCCGTTACATGGTCATTCACACATGTGCCATGACGCTCCTGGAAAGAATTAAGACGAGCTGCCATTTATTTCGCTGCTGGCTCCCTTCTCTTGTGCCCCCTCTGCTGGCCCCCTCCCCAACGCCGCAGGGCTGCGACCTGCCGTTCACGTTCATTCACGCAGCAGCGGAGGATACAGGGCTGCCTGCTGGGGACGAATGAGAAACTCTTGCACGCACCGCTCCATACCCCTCCATACCCCTCCATTGCAGGGCCGCGAGCTGCCTTTCACGTTCATCCATGCAGCAGCGGAGGACACGGGGCTGCCTGCTGGGTCGGTGGATCTGGTGTCCATCTGCCTCGTGTGCCACGAGCTGCCACGGTCGGCCACCAAGAAGGTGAGGGATGCAATGTGATGCGTGGGAGAGCTAGAGAGAGGAAGGCAGACATGTGGGGGAAAGAGGGCTGCCTGCTGGGTCGGTGGATCTGGTGTCCATCTGGCTCGTGTGCCACGAGCTGCCGCGATCAGCCACCAAGAAGGTGAGGACGCGTGACGTTGGCATCCCGTCTGCCCTACTTTGTTCTGAACTGGTATGCCACCAACATTCTCCATGCCACCAACATTCTCCATGCCACCAACATTCTCCATGCCACCAACATTCTCCATGCCACCAACATTCTCCATGCCACCAACATTCTCCATGCGCGTTTGCTGTGGTGGTGGTAAATGAAGCGCCTGAAAACGCCCACTCCCCATCCACCAGCTGTGCGCAGATCATAGAGGAGGCGCACCGCATCTTGAGGCCGGGGGGGGGGGGGAGAGGGGGTCGGTGGGGCACGTTTGCTGTGGTGGTGGTAAATGAAGCGCCTAAAAACGCCCACTCCCCACCCACCAACTGTGCACAGATCATAGAGGAGGCGCACCGCATCTTGAGGCCGGGGGGCGCATTTGCAGTGATGGAGATGAACCCGAGGTCGCCCTTCTTCCAGAAGATCTCCAACAACCCCTTCGTCTTCGCGGCCGTACGTGTACCACATCCATGCAGCATCTCCATGCAGCAAACAAGCCGCCTAAAACAAAGTGTGCGTTTTGCCTTGAAGCCATGGCTTCCTACTTTTGAGAGGGCCCAAGGAAGTAGGGCACTGCCTTTCAGCATCCCTTGCTTTCTCCCCTCCCCTTCGCTCTCTCCCCACGCCTCTCACACTGCCTGCACTTCAAGTTATCGGAGCCATGTGTAATGAGTCTATTCTTGAGTCGACTCAAAAATAGACTCGTTACACATGGGCCATACCAGCACGTTCGGCATTGAGAATGCCCTCACGGATAAACAGCAGTTCGCTTTGACTGCTGACTTTCCTCTCCTCTCCCCACCCCCCCTCACACCACCTGCACTTCTAAGTCAACGGAGCCATACCTGGACGACTACAGCATGCTCCCCCTCGAGGGTACCATCTTGGACGGAGAGCAGCTCACTTTGTGTCCTCACTTCCCTTTCACTCCTCGCCTCTCCCCAACCCCCATGCACCACTGCACTCAAGTCAACGGAGCCGTACATTGATGATCAAATTACCTCACGTTCCCCATTGGGGATGCCATAGCCGAGAGAGGCGTCAAGTACCCCCAGCAGATGGTGGGGAGCAGCCCCTGTTGTGTTGTCGCTTACTCTGCTCTCACCCCCCCCCCCCCCCCCCCTCCCCCCCCCCCTTTTGCTCTCTCGTTCCCTTGACTCTGTTGCACTTCAAGTCAATGGAGCTGTATCTTGACGACTACCCCACGTTCCCCATGGAGGATGCCATAGCAGGGAGAGGCGTCAAATACCCCCAGCAGATGGTGGGGAGCGACCATGTTGTTCTGTCACCGAATCTGCTCCTCAAACCCCCTGCTCTCTTTCCCTTCGCTCCGTCTTGCAGTTCAAGTCAACGGAGCCGTACCTGGACGACTACCGCACGTTCCCCATTGAGGATGCCATAGCGGAGAGGGGCTTCGAGTACCCCCAGCAGATGGAGAGCAGCCCGCGGCACCGCTGCATCGTGGCGCACAAGCTATGATCAGCGTGCTTGTGGAAATCCGTGTGTAATGAGTCGATTTTTGAGTCGACTCAAAATCGACTCGTGGCGCACAAGCCATGATCAGCGTGCTTGTGGAAATTCGCATGCGAGGGTCTAGGGCGTGCGGATGGAGGGCTCAGAGCAGCCCGTGCCACCGCTGCATCGTGCGGGACAAGCAATGATCTGGGTGCTCATGGAGACACGGAAATTAACTATGTGTATCAATAGTGTGTGCATGAATAAAAGGTGTGAGACATCCCTAGTCACCAACCTTGTTGGCTCTTGAATATTGTAGAACGACGGATAGCATTGTGCGCAGAAGATAGCTGAAAACAACCTTGGTAGTATCGGTACATGCCGTCACCGTTTTGAACCATTGGAAATATAAGAAATATGAAAAACAAATCAACTGCACTGATATGGAACTAGCTAAGAGGCTATCCTAGTTTCTCTAGCCAACTGAACATAATGGACCAGAACATATACAGCAACTTGCTACATGGAAGAGTACGGAATAGGGAGTTGTGTCGTGCGCCTTCATACAATACAGGAATTGTCAATGTGCTAAGTGGCAGCAGCACTCTCTTGCAGTGAGTCCCATAGAGGTCCGCCCTCCTTGAACCCTGCAAACGGAAACAAGCGAGGCATACAGCAGAGTGAATCTGTTGATCTCACATGCACATCACACCACCATCTGTTGATCTCACATGCACATCACACCACCATCTGTTGATCTCACATGCACATCACACCACCATCTGTTGACCTGTGAATCTGTTCAAGTCCACTCACCGTTAGTGGCAGCCAGTGGGGCTGCATGCAGGCCATTCATCACGCAGTGCACCGTGCACGACTCGCCATAGTCGAGGTCCGGAAGGAGCTTAGGGGTCAGCAGGAAGCACCTGGGAGGGGCGCAGGGTGAGTGGGAAGGGGAACAGGCAGAAAAGGCTGAAGCCAGCCAGCTACCGGGCAAGTTGGCGGCCAGTCATTCAGGCCAAACAGTCATTCGGGCCAAACAGTCATTCGGGCCAAACAGTCATTCAGGCCAAACAGTCATTCGGGCCAAACAGTCATTCGGGCCAAACAGTCATTCAGGCCAAACAGTCATTCGGGCCAAACAGTCATTCGGGCCAAACAGTCATTCGGGCCAAACAGTCATTCGGGCCAAACAGTCATTCAGGCCAAACAGTCATTCGGGCCAAACAGTCATTCGGGCCAAACAGTCATTCAGGCCAAACAGTAATTCGGGGCAAACAGTCATTCGGGCCAAACAGTCATTCAGGCCAAACAGTCATTCGGGCCAAACAGTCATTCGGGCCAAACAGTCATTCGGGCCAAACAGTCATTCAGGCCAAACAGTCATTCGGGCCAAACAGTCATTCAGGCCAAACAGTCATTCGGGGCAAACAGTCATTCGGGCCAAACAGTCATTCAGGCCAAACAGTCATTCGGGCCAAACAGTCATTCGGGCCAAACAGTCATTCGGGCCAAACAGTCATTCAGGCCAAACAGTCATTCAGGCCAAACAGAACAAATAGACCTAACTCGCATGTTATCGTGGCTGCGATGGGATGGCTCGGTGGTGACGTCGGGTTCCGGGCTGGAAAATCCCTCTGGTTTGAGTGTTGAGGCTTTGGTTTGTCGCGCTCGGCAGTTGTGACCCAGTCCACTTGCATAACATTGGAGCTGCGACAAGATGCGAGTTGGGTTCCATCTACCGAGCACGACACATTGAAGTCCGACGATCAAACCAGAGGCACCACCAACCCAGAAACTTGACATTGCGGTCGAGCCATCTCATCGCAGTGAGTGGAAAATACTCGATACTCGAGACATCCACCGTAACTGACAACAGCCTGGCTATTTCTCCCATGCACCACGAAAGCATTAACTCCCACGTGGCATCACCATGCTTTCGATTGTCCTTCCATTGAAGAGCACCTCTCGACGCCGACGGTGGATTCACCGAAAGACCATCCATCCCGCAAGCAGTATGGACAGGCACCGGATCATCCGACCTTGGGAAGCTGGTCTCTACATTTAAACCGACCAACCACCTGAGCCGTTTCTGGACCAAGCACCGAACCGCAACCGCCATGGTCACTAACCTACAGGCTGAATCGCGACCAACCGCCCGAGCCGCGCAGAAATTTGGCAGCATCCATTTGGGTTAAGGGTTGCACCCTGGCCCTGGATCCAACCTCCAGAGCTTCAATCGCCAATTTGCCAAGTTCAAGATTCCACCCCTAACCTCCACAGCGAGTCAACTATCCGGACCGCACTGCAACAACTGCCAGGTTCAGGATTTCACTCATAACCTATATGGCGAACGAACAGTCCATCCAACCGTCCGAGCCGCAACAACCAGGGTATGGGAATCACCCCTAACCCAACCGCCCATTCGAGCTGCAACAGCCAGGATTAGACAATCACCCTGTGGCCCAGCCCTCATTCGACTTCTATACAACCCGAAGCCACCACCAGTCCCTCATTCTCATTTTCAACTTGCCAACATTTTGAATCGCCAAATATGGAGCCAACTCGTCCAGACTCTCCTGTAGCGACGGAAGCGAGCGGGCTGTTTATTCCAGTCGATCCTGGTGTTGGCGGGTTCGGCGACGATGAAATCGCCGATCTTGATGGTTTCATCCTCCGTACGAATGGTGCGTCAGAGATCGAAATTTAGCTTCTGTCGCTTCGGGGAAAGGTCAGAGCTCAGAGCGGCTGCACGGAGCTCTTGGCCGTAGAAGCAAGTTCGGTTGTAGATTGTGGTGGCCGCTGCCTCGGCCATCGCATCGCCTGAAAGGTCAATCGGAGTGGTTTCGTGGGGAACGGTCCATGTGATGGAAGCAGGCCGACCATACTGAAGTTGGAATGGGGAATGCTTGGTGGTGTCGGAGACGGAGGCATGATAACCGAAAAGGACGAGCCAGATGTTGTCGTCCCAGTGACGGGGGTTGGCATTGCCCAGACGGCTGAGGGCGCCCTTAAGGGTCCGGTTGAAGCGTTCGACCGGTCCCTGACTCTCGGGATGGTCAGGTGTCCCAAACGAATGATAGATATTGAAAGAGCCATGCAATACCACCCAATCAGCTCGGAAGGAAAGCGTCAGAATCGAAGAGAAAGAACACCCACGCAAACAACACAAAACCGACCCCTATACCGTACGCCACAGCCCCAGCCCGTTCTGTGACCCCTTTACCAGAACGTCCCCCCCCCCCCCCCCGCCTGCACGGTGCAACCCCCCAGCCTCCGCACGGTAAAGGGGCCCCCGCAGGCCAAACAGTCATTCAGACCAAGCAGTCATTCTGGCCAAACTACGCCCGAGGCAAAGGACCGCTATAGGGCTGTGGCTTGCCTGCACGGCTGCCATGGGCGTATTTCAGAATTGTCAAAAACTCCTCGAGGCTCCTGACTGCCTGACGTGCTCCCCTCATCACCATTCGATATTGCCTATCTCGTGTTAAAATATTCTATTATATTTATTATCCTAGATTGCTAGTCTTGAGTATTTATACGCAACCTCCTTGGACTAGGGTGTAATGATAATCCTAATCGGGGGTTGGGTTCCCAAACTCGAAGGGTTCACAATTATTTAAGAACCCCAATAATCCCCACCAGGATTCTTGGACACCCTACAATCATCCTAGCCAGATTTATTGGTGGGGGCCAATAATCTTGGCCCACTCTCCCAACCAACCCCCCCCCCCTCCCTCCTAGTCCCCACCTATGTAAGCTCCTCTCTTTCCTAGTCAAACCAATCTTCTCATTTCTCACATCACAGATCTACGCTGGTTGGACTGGATGCACTCTCACTGCTGTGTGTGGCCATGGGTTGCTTGCTGCCCCCAATCACTCCTAGCACCTAATTAGGTTCTTCACTTTGCTGCGCTACCGAGCTGCTTTTTGAGTCGACTAAAAAATAACTGACGAGCTGTTGGAACATGTGATTTTTTAGAATACTCCAAAACACCTTGGAACATGTTGCACTCATTGGTTGGGTCCATGCCCTGGTTGGTTCCACTTTATGTACACAATTTAGCCTCTAAATGTACCTAAATACGTTACTTACTGTGGTGTATGATCATGAGTGGCCGCCCTGACCAGCTGCTGAAACATGTTGCGCTCGTTGGTGGGGTCCATGCCCTGGTTGATCCCACGTGACGTACACAGTGCTACTACCAGCCGTATGCCCATGCAATACCCACAGCGGCGTGTGGTCATGAGTGGCCGCCCTAACCAGCTGCTGAAACATGTTGCGCTCGTTGGTGGGGTCCATGCCCTGGTTGATCCCACGTGACGTACACAGTGCTACTACCAGCCGTATGCCCATGCAATACCCACAGCGGCGTGTGGTCATGAGTGGCCGCCCTAACCAGCTGCTGAAACATGTTGCGCTCGTTGGTGGGGTCCATGCCCTGGTTGATCCCACGTGACGTACACAGTGCTACTACCAGCCGTATGCCCATGCAATACCCACAGCGGCGTGTGGTCATGAGTGGCCGCCCTAACCAGCTGCTGAAACATGTTGCGCTCGTTGGTGGGGTCCATGCCCTGGTTGATCCCACGTGACGTACACAGTGCTACTACCAGCCGTATGCCCATGCAATACCCACAGCGGCGTGTGGTCATGAGTGGCCGCCCTAACCAGCTGCTGAAACATGTTGCGCTCGTTGGTGGGGTCCATGCCCTGGTTGATCCCACGTGACGTACACAGTGCTACTACCAGCCGTATGCCCATGCAATACCCACAGCGGCGTGTGGTCATGAGTGGCCGCCCTAACCAGCTGCTGAAACATGTTGCGCTCGTTGGTGGGGTCCATGCCCTGGTTGATCCCACGTGACGTACACAGTGCTACTACCAGCCGTATGCCCATGCAATACCCACAGCGGCGTGTGGTCATGAGTGGCCGCCCTAACCAGCTGCTGAAACATGTTGCGCTCGTTGGTGGGGTCCATGCCCTGGTTGATCCCACGTGACGTACACAGTGCTACTACCAGCCGTATGCCCATGCAATACCCACAGCGGCGTGTGGTCATGAGTGGCCGCCCTAACCAGCTGCTGAAACATGTTGCGCTCGTTGGTGGGGTCCATGCCCTGGTTGATCCCACGTGACGTACACAGTGCTACTACCAGCCGTATGCCCATGCAATACCCACAGCGGCGTGTGGTCATGAGTGGCCGCCCTAACCAGCTGCTGAAACATGTTGCGCTCGTTGGTGGGGTCCATGCCCTGGTTGATCCCACGTGACGTACACAGTGCTACTACCAGCCGTATGCCCATGCAATACCCACAGCGGCGTGTGGTCATGAGTGGCCGCCCTAACCAGCTGCTGAAACATGTTGCGCTCGTTGGTGGGGTCCATGCCCTGGTTGATCCCACGTGACGTACACAGTGCTACTACCAGCCGTATGCCCATGCAATACCCACAGCGGCGTGTGGTCATGAGTGGCCGCCCTAACCAGCTGCTGAAACATGTTGCGCTCGTTGGTGGGGTCCATGCCCTGGTTGATCCCACGTGACGTACACAGTGCTACTACCAGCCGTATGCCCATGCAATACCCACAGCGGCGTGTGGTCATGAGTGGCCGCCCTAACCAGCTGCTGAAACATGTTGCGCTCGTTGGTGGGGTCCATGCCCTGGTTGATCCCACGTGACGTACACAGTGCTACTACCAGCCGTATGCCCATGCAATACCCACAGCGGCGTGTGGTCATGAGTGGCCGCCCTAACCAGCTGCTGAAACATGTTGCGCTCGTTGGTGGGGTCCATGCCCTGGTTGATCCCACGTGACGTACACAGTGCTACTACCAGCCGTATGCCCATGCAATACCCACAGCGGCGTGTGGTCATGAGTGGCCGCCCTAACCAGCTGCTGAAACATGTTGCGCTCGTTGGTGGGGTCCATGCCCTGGTTGATCCCACGTGACGTACACAGTGCTACTACCAGCCGTATGCCCATGCAATACCCACAGCGGCGTGTGGTCATGAGTGGCCGCCCTAACCAGCTGCTGAAACATGTTGCGCTCGTTGGTGGGGTCCATGCCCTGGTTGATCCCACGTGACGTACACAGTGCTACTACCAGCCGTATGCCCATGCAATACTCACTGCGGCGTGTGGTCATGAGTGGCCGCCCTAACCAGCTGCTGAAACATGTTGCGCTCGTTGGTGGGGTCCATGCCCTGGTTGATCTCGTCCACCACGCGGAAGGGGCACCGGGTGAGGTCTTGCAGCGATACGAGGTAGAGAATGGTGGACACAGAGCGCTCCTGGAGGGCAAAACAAGGGGGGGGGGGGGGGGGGAGAAGGGAAGGAGGAACAAGACGCAGCATGTGCAGTCGTCCACCACGCGGAAGGGGCACCGGGTGAGGTCTTGCAGCGATACGACGAGGTAGAGAATGGTGGAGACAGAGCGCTCCTGGTGGGGAAAGCAGGGGGTTTGGATTGGAGGGAAGGAGGAACAGAAGGCAGCATATGCATTCATCCACCACTCGAAAGGGCCAGCAGGCCAGGTCCTGTCGTGACACCAGGTAAAGGATTGTGACACCAGGTAGGAGATATGGGTTGATGGTGGGTTCCACTCCATGCCCTGGTATTTGAGAATTCTCAAAGATGGAGAGAGGAGTGAGGGGTTGTTGGTGGGTTCCACTCCATGCCCTGGTTGATCTCGACTACCACTCAGGCAGCGCAGCGAGTCAGGTGGTCCTGTAGTGACACGACCAGGTAGAGGATGGTGGACACAGAGCGCTCCTGGAAGTGTTGAGTGAGGGGATGGAGAGAGGAGTGAGGGGTTGTTGGTGGGTTCCATGCCCCGGTAGAGGATGGTGGACACAGAGCGCTCCTGGTAGGAAGGGGAGAGCGGGGATGTTAGAGAGGTGCGGATGTGGAGAGGCGAGGATGCGTTGGTGGGGTCCATGCCCTGGTTGGTTTCATCCACCACTCGCAAGGGGCAGTGAGTCAAGTTCTGGAGAGCCACCGGGTACGAAGGGGCGCTCTGTGTCCCGGACACAGAGCGCTCGTGGTACGAAGGGGTGCTCTGTGTCCCGGACACAGAGCGCTCGTGGTACGAAGGGGAGAGTGGGGTAGCGGACAGAGGGAATGGAAAAACCAAAAAGAGCGGCGACAGGGAGAACAGGAGGGACGAAAGGGCAAGGGCAAGGAAAGCGAGCAGCGAAGCAAGCGGTGATGAAAGCAGCAAAGGCAAAGCGACAGCACAAGCAACGCATGCAGCTGAGTGAGTGAGCAGCGAAGCAGGGAGTCCAGCAACGCACCCCTCCTGACTGGTGGTGAGCACTGAGGTCCTGCAGCTCCGCACTCTCCCTGGTGGGGCAGGTGGGGGGAGGGGGGGATGAAGAGCGGGGGAAGGGGCGGAAGGGAGACACGAGGACAATACGGATGGAGAAGCGAGGCAGAAAACGAAATGGAAGAAACACAACCACGGGGACAAGAAAGAAACGAAACTTGTGCGACACGTTCCGATTTTCTGAGAGATGCGCATCTGACAAGAAAGCACACGTGAAGCAGAATCACCTGAAGACGAAGCACCTGAAGCCGAATCACCTGAAGACGAAGCACCTGAAGCAGAATCAACTGAAGACGAAGCACCTGAAGCAGAATCAACTGAAGACGAAGCACCTGAAGCAGAATCACCTGAAGACGAAGTACCTGAAGCTGAATCGCCTAAAGCTCAACAGCTGAAGGTAGATCACCTGACGGCAGATCACCTGAAGGCAGATCACCTGACGGCAGATCACCTGACGGCAGATCACCTGACGGCAGATCACCTGAACTTGACTCGGATTCGAATGCCGTATGAGCGGAAGTCAGCCCCCTTCTCATCTGATGGTGGTCAAGTAGCGGGGTGGTGCAGCGGGAGGAGGGAGTGCGGTGGTAGGAGGGAGTGCGGTGGTAGGAGGTAGTGTGATGGTAGATGTGTGGGGGTTGGTTGGAAGGCACAGGGTGATTCGTTAGCAGGCAGAGTTCGGAGCTCTAATAGTTGAGTGAGTCATTGGTTTGGTGGGCTAGGAATGAAGGAGATGGGATGATGTGGCACTTTTCCTCTCTACCATCCCTCCACCTCTCGCTCCCTCTTTTCGTCTCCCTTCCCTCCCTGCCCCATTCCAGTTTTGAGGCGCCTCAAAACTAAACTTCCCTTCCCTCCCTGCCCCATTCCAGTTTTGAGGCGCCTCAAAACTAAACTTCCCTTCCCTCCCTGCCCCATTCCCTCACCTAGCACACACTCACAATCCTAGCAAACTTCGTTTTTAAAAAAGTTTCCCTTGCCCTACTCACTCGTTCTCTTCCCCCCCAAACCCCCACCCCCCACCCCCCCACCCCCCCTTTCCCCGCCCCTCCTTCCCTTTCTCACCTAGAGCCACCTCGCCAGCGACAGCCATTTCCTGGAAGTTTCTTGAGAAGGCCTCGTTGATGCGCACGACCAATGAGCGAAGGCGCGGCAGCCACTGGCCCTGTGGATGAGATGATGCCACGTGGCAGATGGTGATGGGAGGATGCCACGTGGCGGATGGTGATGGGAACATGACACGTGGTAGATGGTATTGAGAGGCCGACATTTGGCAGATGCGAATGATGGCACGTGGCAGAGGCGAATGGGAGAATGACAAGTCAGGTATCTAGCACAAGGCAACAGGAAAATGGCTTCTGGGTGGCCTATTTTTGAGGCGCCTCAAAAATAGACTCCTCAAGCATGGCAGACAGATGGCACGAATAAGGGCATGCGCAACTTGATCTGGTTTTGAGGCGCCTAAAAACAGGAAAATGGCTTCTGGGTGGCAGACAGATGGCACGAATAAGCTTTTGAGTCGCCTCAAAAGCAGACAGATGGCATGAATCAGGGCATGCGCTGCTTGATCCCTCTCCCCCACATGCCATTGTGCTGTTGTCACATTCACACACACCATACCCCCCCAATACAGTCACAGCAACCATAGCCCCACCCCCTCCCTCTCTGCACCCTCTCCACCTCTGCCTTGACTTGAGCTCCTCCAGCTGCTACAGTCACACACATCACACAGCCCCCCAATACAATCACAATCACCATCCTTCCTGTCACCCCCCTCACCTGCACCCTCTCTACCTCCGCCTTGAGCTCCTCCAGCCGCTGGCTCTCGCTCTCCACCTTGCCCTGCATGCTGCGGATCTGCGGGGCGAAGATGCGAGGGTGGGGGAATGTGCGGTGGAGGGGGGACAATAAGTGGGAGGGCTCTCGCTCTCCACCTTGCCCTGAATGCTGCGGATCTGGACGGGTGGGGGGTTGGGCGAAGGGAAGTGGGAACAAGACACGGACAAGTGACGTTGGACAATAGCCTTGCAGCTGCTGGCTCTCGCTCTCCACCTTGCCCTGCATGCTGCGGATCTGACGGGCGAAGATGCAAGGGTGGAGGAATGTGGAGTGGAGGGGGGACAATAAGTGGGGGGGCTCTCACTCTGCCCCTTGCCGTGCATGCTGCGGATCTGGAAGGGGAGGAAGGGGGGGGAGAGGGAGGGGGGGGGGGGGGTGTTTTGGTGGGGTGTTGGTTGGGGGGTGAGCAGGGGAAAGTGGGAACAAGGCAGCAGCACGGATAAATGAGGATGGAGAACAGTCTGGCAGCAGCAGACTGCCTCTCATTCCAGCCTGCATGCTGCGGATCTGGATGGGCGGGGGGGCTGGGAGGGGGGAGAGCAAGGCACGGGCATGTTAGGGTGGGGGGAGGGGGGAGAGGTAGGAGGCGGGGGGGTTGGGTTCAGGAGCGTGTGTGTGTGTGAGACACTCTCACCCCCTCTCCCCGCTCTTCAAATTGCTGCAGCACGAGCAGATGTTTCAGTGTGCACGCGAATGTAGACTTTTACATCATTCCTCTCTTTTTTCCGTCACCCTCTCACCTGCTCCTGCCGCTCTTGGAACTGCTGCAGCACGTGCGGGTTGTGTGTGTGTGTGTCGTAAAGTGTCTCTCACCTGCTCCTGGCGCTCCTGGAACTGCTGCAGCACGTGGGGGTTGGGGCACACAATGCGGTTCGCCTGCCCAGTGCGCTCCTCCACCTCTTCATGCAGCTCCTCCAGGGAGTCGGGCAGCTGAAAGCATGACAGCGGCATGGCACAGCGCACAGCGCACAGAGCACAGCGCACAGAGCACAGAGCACAGAGCACAGAGCACAGAGCACAGAGCACAGAGCACAGAGCACAGAGCACAGCGCACAGAGCACAGAGCACAGAGCACAGAGCACAGAGCACAGAGCACAGAGCACAGAGCACAGAGCACAGAGCACAGAGCACAGAGCACAGAGCACAGAGCACAGGAGCACAGAGCACAGAGCACAGAGCACAGAGCACAGAGCAAGAGCACAGAGCACAGAGCACAGAGCACAGAGCACAGAGCACAGAGCACAGAGCACAGAGCACAGAGCACAGAGCACAGAGCACAGAGCACAGCGCACAGAGCACAGAGCACAGAGCACAGAGCACAGTATCAGAAACTGAGAACTTGATTGATTGAAATGAGCAAGAGCATACATCCTTAAGTACCGAGCATCGGAGAGGATGGGAAGGGATAAGGGAGAATCGGAGGGAATCCCAAGGGAATCCTCCCAAATCGTGGGGATTTGGGATGGATTGGGTTGGGATAGGTTGGGGATGAAAACATAGCTACACCCAACCTAACAAATATGGGTATCCCTAAAACCAACAAAGTGTCAACACACAAAATTGTGCCGACCGAATTGCAGCCTATCTCTAACACACCCCCTAGGCTGCAACGTCGGAAGCCGTAGGGACGCCAAGTCCCATGGTACGGAGGAGACGATAGTGATCACGGCGTCCAAGAGCCTTCGTAAACAAGTCGGCGAGGTTGCAGTCAGAGGAAATATGCTTGACGCACAACTGCCCTCGCTGGACGAGCTCGCGCATGAAGAAGTGTCTCAATTCGATGTGCTTGGTTCGTTGGTGGAAGACAGGATCTTTGGTGAGGTGGATAGTGCTCTCGTTATCACACCACAGAGTCGGGGTCTGCTGAGGATACCCGAGCTCAGCCATGAGGTAGGTAAGCCATCGAGCTTCTTGGGCTGCCATGGTGCCTGCGTATAACTCAGCTTCGCAAGATGACAATGAGACGGATGACGAGCGTGTAGATCGCCAGCTGATGACACCACTGCCAAGGGTGAAGCAATAGCCTTGGGAAGAGCGGCGGTCAGCTTGATCATCAGCCCATGAGGAGTCGCTGTATCCCTCGAGGTGAGGAGGGGTCGTGCCACCGAGAGTGAGGACGTAGTCCTTGGTGGCTTGGAGGTAGCGAAGGACGCGCTTAGCAGCCGACCAGTGGCGATTGGTGTATCGACCGGCAGCAACGTAACGCGAGAGCACACTGATGGGTAGGCGAGGTCGGGCCTTGTGCACATCATCGCATACATGAGTGATCCGACGAGCTCGGGGTATGCCTCATCACAAGGCTCAGGCGATGGAACTGATGGAGTGGTCAGATCATGCTGCAAGGGAAGGGGAGTGGCCACTGGCTTGGCGTTGTCCATGGCAAAACGCTTGAGGACGTTGTTCACATAGAACTCTTGAGAGAGAGTGATGGTTCGAGCTTCGCGATCCCGCGAGATTCCATCCCAAGGTAGTTCTTGAGTTCACCGAGGTCCTTCATGGCGAGAGCGTCCCCAAGAGCTTGCTTAACAGCTGCCAGCTGATCGGAGTCCTTGGAGACGAGAATCATGTCGTCAACGTAGACAAGGATGAAGAACGGGTTGTCGTTCTTGCGAATGAAGAGACTCGGATCGGCTGAGGAGGGGTGGAAGTCGAGTGACTCGAGGGTTGCCTTCAGCTTCTTGTGCCATTCCCGAGGAGCCTGCTTCAACCCGTAGACTGGTCGATTCAGCTTCCAGACCGTGCCGGGTGGAAAGGGTAAGGGAAATCCTTGAGGACGTTCCATGTAGATGTCCTCGGGGAGATCCCCTTGGAGAAATGCAGCAGAGACGTCCATGGAGTGAACGTCAAAGTTGCATCGAGCAGCAATGTCCAGCAGGGTCCGAAGTGTGGGCAGTTTGGCTGTCGGAGAGAATGTGTCGAAGAAGTCCAGGCCCTTCTTCTGCGTGAAGCCTTTTGCACAGTATCGCGCCTTGAAGACTGGGAGTTCGCCAGGCAGCTGCTTGACGCGAAAAACCCATTTGCCACGGACAATGTTAACTCCTCGCGGAGGAGAGACGTCCGTGAAAGAGTTGTTGCGAATGAATGCTTCACACTCCGCGATCATGGCTGCGAGCCACTGGGGGGAGTGTGGTCCAGAGATGGCTTCATCATATGAGTTCGGGGTCGGGATGGATGGATTTTCCGAGAAGTTAAGAGTTGGAGCGTCGGCAAGGTCGGGGAAGAGATGGCAGAGCTGACGGATGGCAGCATTGATCTCAATCAGCTCCTCATGCCTATCCTCCAAGAGGCCAGGCATGGATGCACCCCCGGCAGGAGGAGGCGGATTGAGGGAGATGCGAACAGAGAGGGCGAGAGGCGGAGCGGGACCATGAGAGCGGGTGCGGTGAGCAATAGGGACAGGAGAGGAGGGAGGTGCGGGGGAGCAGGTGGGACATCGACATAAGAGCGTCCGTGGCGACGGCGACGATAGGTGATGGGCGAGTCGGGAGGAGAGGTGGAGGTTGGAGGCGGAAGCGGAGGTGAAGGCGGGGATGGAGGTGCGGGGGCAGGGGGAGCCACAGAAGGAGAGGAGGTGGAGGGGCAGCTGCAGGAGCGGGTGCAGGGGAAGTGCAGGCGCGGGCGGAGGTGAACGGGCAACTGAGCCAGTGGGCGAAGAGGGTGAGAGAGGAGTGGAAGGAGATGGGGAAGGTGAGAGTGAGGGGGCCGCAGGAGGAGCAGCAGAGGGAGGAGGTGGGGTGGGTGAAGTATCGAAATCGGCCCACACAAGCGAAGGTGGAGCGGTGGGGGGTGGTGAAGAGAGGTAAAAAGGGCGACTCTCGTCAAAGGCGACATCGCGGCTACGAATGAGCTGATTGGTGGAGAGATTGAGGAAAAGGTAATCGGGAGAGTCCAGGTTGTGGCCGAGGTAGACACAGGGTTGAGCTTTGGGTGCAAATTTGCCGCCGTGGGTGCGACGTTCCTGAGGGTTGAGGAGGACATAAGCTGTACACCCCCATACGCGGAGAGGACGTGCACTGGGCTTGGTGCCGGTCCACAGTTCAGCGGGAGTGATGGCAGGCCGAAGAGGGTGAGGGTGAAGGTTGTACAGCAGCGTGGCATGAAGGAGGGCGTAACCCCAAAGGGAAGGTGGTGCACCAGCGTGAGTGAGAAGACAGCGAGCGATTTGCACGAGAGTGCGATTGCGACTTTCGGCAATGCCATTCTGCTGCGGACTGTGGGGAAGGGTGAAGGTCTGGCGAATGCCTTGGGAGGCACAGAACGCTTGAAGGGAATGGTTTCGAAATTCGCCACCGCCATCGGAATGGAGGCACTTGACTGAAGTGCGGAAATGATTTTGGGCTTGTCGAAGCCATGCGATGACGACATCTGGAACAGCTGCTTTGGAGGAGAGTAGGTGGACGGAGGCATAGCGAGAGTGATCGTCAACGAGCACTAGGAAGTAAGAGTGCCCGCCACGAGAGCGGACTGGAGCTGGGCCCCAGACGTCCATGTGGACGAGGTCAAGCGGGGCGGCTGCAGCAGAGGGCGAGGAAGGGTGAGGCAACTGGCGTAGTTGCTTTGCGCGCAGTCCAAGCATGGAGGAGCGGGAGAAGTGGAGGGTGGAGGAAGTGTGTCGGGCAGGTGAAGAAGCAACTTCTTAGACGCAAGCTCGGAGAGCATGCGGAAGTTGGGATGCCCAAGACGATGGTTGGTAAAGAATGGTTGGATCGGTGAGCTGACGGCAGGAGCACGATGATGTGGTGGAGGGTAGAGTGTGCTTCTGTGGAAGATGGAGGTACTTGGAGTGTGTAGAGGTTGTTGGGCGGTCAGTGTGAAGCGTGCCAAGTAGGGCATTGGTGGTGGGCTGAAGGAGATCACAGTGATTGGAATGAGCTGGGAAGATAGTGGTTACCCCTGCTCGTTGAATCTCATGTTGTGCAAGTAAGTTGTGCCGAAGAGTGGGCACGCATATGCCAGTGACTGTGCCAGATGGGAAGGCTGGGCATGGAAGAGTGGAGGAACCATGGGCGACAGTTGTGAAGCTGGAGTCAGCGCCCAGAAGAGGAATGGGTGTTGGTATGGTTTGAAAGACTCTTTGTCTCGGAGGACTGTGTGGGTTGCGCCACTGTCCAGGACGAATCAAGCGGTTTAGATGGTGTTTGTGGAGACGCCGAGTACTGGGAACTGGTTTCATTGATCATGGGAAGCCAGGGAACAACAGGTTGAGACGAACATCAGGACTAGGGGCATGAACAGCTGAGTCCTGACTATCCTGTGCCTCAACCTGGTTGAGTTGGCGCATGCGAAGCCAGTTGGGCGGCTTGGAGTTGATACCATTCTTGGCGAACCAGTCGTCGTCCTTCTTTTTGAAACAGGTGGCGAGCGGGTGATTGGTGCCGCCGCACACTTGACCCGCACGGGGGGTCCCATTTTGATGACGTAAGGACAGGGTGGTAGCGGTTACGAGTGGGTGGCGGATTGGGACGCGATGCTGGAGCCGGGACAGGAGCGCGAAGCGCATTTGCACGAGCCTGCGCAGTGTTGTCTTTTTCAGCAGAGAGAAGTGCGGAAGAGACTTTGGCAAAGGTTAGCTCTTCTGGCGGGAGATGGAGAAGCATGGAGCGGGTGACATTGTAAGAGGGGGTCAGCCCAACAAGCAGAGCTGCTGCAGGGGCTTGCTCTGGGAAGACAATGCCGAGTTGCTTCAGCTCCTGATGAATCCCTTGAATTTCAGCGACGTAATCTGCCATTCCAGGGGCACTCCTCCAGACGCACTTGAAACATGCGGGGATGAGGATCGCCACCCCCACAGCGGTTTTGTTGAGGAAGCGGTCGTTGAGGTACTCCCAGATGGCGTGCGCGGAGGGGTAGTTATGGTAAGTTTTGACGAGCTCGGAAGGGGTAGTGCCGACGAAGACGCCAATGATAGCGGCGTCGGCTTGCTCCCACACGCTGTAAGATTCCTCATACTTGGACATGGAT